TCATTTTTTCTGAAAAGGTGGTGTCTATTTACTTGTGACTACGCTGTGTATACAAGTAACTTGATGGTTTATTGAATGGTAAAACTGTGACTACCTGAAACAATTTATTTAGAATTTTTTATTCTCGAAGTCAAAATTTCTGAAAAAAATCTGTTGATAAGAACGTGTTATATCACAAAAGAATAGCTAACAATAAAATCGACGTTTGATAGCGTATTTCGTGAAAAAAATCAGAAATAACTGGGTTTAATTAACATAGACAAATTTGAAATTTACCAAAGAGCCTATACATGTTTAATTTAAAGCTAAAGAAATTTTTATATTTTATGTGATTTATCAAAAGTCTCAAAATTTCCAAATCGATATATTTCGTAAATAAGCAAATTTCTAAGAGACCGCTATCTGCGCTTGGTGCCCCTAATTTTGAGGTGATAGACTAGAGATAAAGGCAACTAGCCGACATCACCCACCGCCAAATCTTGGTCTACTGTTATCAAACTGACTAATTGAATTTGATTGTCATTCTAATAACGCACCCACGGCCCTAAAGAGCGGAATGAGATTTCTTTTGCCGATAACAAGACGCGAACCACAGAAACTCAGCTCCACAGACTGGCATGCTAACCACTGGGTCACGCTTGGCCCAAACTACTAAACGTTTTTGAAGAAAATAAAGTAGATAGTCCCTGGTACCAATTTTGAAGAAAGTAAAATAGATAGTTCCTGGTACCAATTTTCGTTAATCAGTATTCTCTTTATTTGTTAATGAGGCAGATGTGTCACGTTTGCTGTCTGGAATATTGTTCCCTTACCTGTAATTTGTCAGTAATAGACATTTAGTAGCAAGAAACTAAATAATAAGTTGACGTCATTGCTTCATTGAAATCCTTTAAATATTTTGTGCAAAAATTTGCTAAGTTGATATAAGAAGTACATTAAAAATCATATAAACTGGTTAAAGGATTACGAAGTTTCACTTGATTCCTCTTTCACTATGTTACCTTTGGAAATTCTTTGGAATTGGATAGTACTAAATTACATTGTCATTTGCTATTCTTCTGCTCTTAATGCTCTTTTGCTATTTCTTTGCTGTTAAGAATAGCTACACAAGGGGGTACCTGTGCTGTGCCCAACACGGATACCGAAACCCTATCTTTAGCGTCTTGAGTCGTCAGTCAGACTTGCCGCTGAGTCTTTTCGGGGCTCATTTGTTGATGTGCAGGTGAGTGAACCAACAACTTGTAACTTATAGTTTGATGTTAAGATAGTCTTTCATTCGAGTAATCTGAACAGTTAATTTAGTCTGTAAACGACTCTATATAAAACTTCAAAATATTTTTTTTAATTAATTACTGAAATAGCATTACATACATAACAAATATTTATAAAACCATATTTTTGATTTCTCATAGGCTAAAAATCGTATAATTTTAAAATTAGAACAGCAACACGTCAAATTACGTAACTAAATGCAATAACGTAAATAAAATAAATAGCAATTATTGTGAAAAAAGCAAAAGAATAAATTGTTATAATATAATGCAAAGCTTTTTGACGATTGCTTCCATTGAGGTTTACGTTGTATTTATATATATATATATCATTTAAAATTCCCCCATTTATAGAAAGGGCAAAATGCATAAACTAGTAAAACTTGTGCCTGCACAGTTATTGATTTTTGTGTTTTCTACAGGTGGTAGTATGAGTAGAGAGATAATCATCTTGTGCTTGGACAGATCAATCAAATTACACCCTAAAACGCCTTGTAATATGTTTTTCAACTAACTTAGATTTTTTTATTTTTGTTACCAATAGAAGCATGATTGTTATTTCCTAATAGCTGGGTCATGCTATACGATCAAGTTGTATCGATTTTAGGGAAATGATTTATCGTATTACAGTTAAGTGTTGTTGGATTAACATTAATGATTACGGTTCAAAATAATGCACAACTACCGATCATCAATAAACATCTTTACCATATAAAACTTCGGAGTAACACCACGTAGAAAGCGTTATTTCTGGTAAATTATATTTCATTAACAGTCGTAGTAGTTTTGTATTCTACGTATTTATTTATATCGCCATGTTACTTAAAGTCACTTGTATTTTATTCTTTCATTCTCGATCGAAAATCTACAGTAGGTGGTTGCCCGGCGCCAGATCCTTGTTTACATTTAATTAAAAAAAATTTCATCGAGAGGGTTTTTATCATTGACTCTTCTTTTTTACCAACATTAATTAATAACGTCGTAAAGTAGGTTTTACTAAAATGAAAACACGAAGTTTAATGAGATGTCTAGTAATTATATTTACCCATACATATACATAGACGATTCTTATTTATTATAATTATACATCTATTAAGGTTATTAATGATAAATTAGTATCTTAATTCTGACCTTTCCCGCAAAAGCAGTGCTATGATTTATCATCTCCACGACGTAAATGATTTCGAGCAGACATTTGAAACACTTTCGAACAGTGTTGACACAAGCCACCGTTGCTACAGCAACGCATCACGTGATTGGGATGATTTTTGTTTCTCATTCTCTTATATTGCATCATTCGATTGTCGTTAACTGTAGCAGAAATATTATTGAATGGATGAATTAAAAGAATATGTTATTAGTGCTTAGGAATAAATAAATAAATACAATTACATGTGAAGTACTTCATTACACAACAAGTAATATATTCACTATTGAAGCGAAACGTATACAACCGCCAAAGTACGATAATAGATTTGACGTGCTTATGACAAAATATTTAATGAGAAAAACAATTTGAAGAACCTGAGGATTATGATAATAAGTGATAATGAATAGTAAAAAAAAATATCCTTTAAAAGCTATATATTGAAACTTAGTTTTAGATAGTCGTAAATGTATGGCAGTCTTAACTAAATATAAATTCATGCTAATGTTGCTTTCCGCTGAGCCACCTTAGGGCTAAAATTTTCTAAGTGTAAGTTATCACTGATCTTAAGAAAGTGAAAGTTTTGCAATCCCTAGTACGTGTGGATGTCCTCTAACCCTAGAAAGATGTAGACCTTTCATCATATTATTTAAATGCGTATACTTTTGTATCTACATGTGATGTAAATAACCATATTGGCAAAGTTTACCGAGATTAATTTATACTTAATAAGAATGACTTTTTATCTTCTTACTAACTTACTTCCTTCCTACTATCTACTTTTAACGTTAATTAGTACGACTAATT